GTGTGTGTGTGTGTGTGTGTGTGTGTGTGTGTGTGTAAGAATTACACAGACTATGAGGTCTCCAGTCCAGTGTTAACATAGATAGATAGATATGCAAAGCCTAGTTTCATATGTACAGCATTGTATATATGCAATGTATATTTGCATATATACATATATATATATGCACATCACTACATATATTCAGCTATCTGTTCTTTTAAAAAAAAATTAGACCTAATTCCAACCCAGCTACTTGTTGAAAGGGTAGTTGTCTTTAGGATATATACAATGTTGTATATATGAAACTAGGCTTTGCATATCTATCTAGCTATCTTTATTAACACTGGACTGGAGACCTCATAGTCTGTGTAGTTCTTCCATATCATTAATGTCTTGTAAATGGCAAAAGACATGACAACAATAAAAATAAAATGAATAATAATAAAAAAAATAAGATGCTTATGGTGGCAGCCAGGAGTCTGAATAAGAAATTCCCTATCCTAAAGACAACTACCCTTTCAACAATTAGCTGGGTTGGAATTAGGTCTGTTTTTTTTTTAAAGAACAGATAGCTGAATATATGTAGTGATGTGAATATTACTAATTTTATATATTTATGGTTTAACAAGATCTATCATCTAAAAATGTTGTTTAGAGAGGCTTTTCTTTCTTGAGCTGCAATGAAACAAGCACATTTTTATTTTGTGTTTGCTTTTACCTTCTTTTCCTTTGGGATTGTTACTATCACAGGTAGCTCAAACGATAGATGGGACTTGGGGTACAACTATAGGGATATGCCAGGATTTGGAATTGGCCTGAAAGAGTTGTTCTTGATAACAAAACCAGAAATTATGCTAAATCAGCTATTCTCAAAATGTTGCCAACATTTTCAGGTGAGTGAAACTGCATAGCAGTGTCTTGTGAAATGTCAGCTACATCAAATCACAAGCTCTCCTGCAGGTCTAGACTTATCCCAGAACCATCCTAAGTAGAAGCACAGAAAGTGATCTGTGGGTTCACCTCCAAGGTTCCTTTGTATACCTAAATTTTGAAGAGATTCACCTCAAACTGCTAATTTTGGCCCATATCTAGTGACAGCATAACATAATGTAACATAACGTAACCACAAACACACACTCCCAGTATGTTCTTATGAAGTTTTTACAGCCTTATAG